TAGAAACGTGGCGTCACAGTAGTCATGTGACTCGCTGACGCAACAATATGAAGTACGTTTTGCCTAACTCTAATATTTACACTAGACATAAAAAACACTTGAGATTTGTATATTTACTTTGAAAGTTAATAAATTTCATGTTTTTTTATTAGGCCTTAACCAGTGAAACGGTTTCAGAATGTCGAGGTGGTACGAAGCGTTATTCAAATAACAAAGATGGTCATTACAGAAGTAGAGTTAATAAAAGATTAAAGATGACTTGTGAATCCTCAAGTGGCATTGTAAGTAAATAACCTGCTCTGAGTTCTTTGTTTCTAACTTCATTAAATGTTTGATTTAGTCTGTGGTATGGAACAAGACAATTAATGTTTTCCTATTTGTGTATACAAATCGGAATGAGAATCAGTAATTTTTTTTAGAAGAATTGCATGTGAATTTGTAGATACTTTAGGTCAATGAAAAGGCTTATTTTTTACTTTTATTTGTGTAAGTTTCATGAGTTTGTGGCTCTGTTTAGTTTGTTGGAATCTAGTTGCTGTTTGTTTAATGAAATTAAATGTGAGACTTCAATATGTAGTGAAACAAAGTACCTTTCAAAATGGATAAAACTGCCCTTACAGAGCTAAATGTCAATTGTAATATTAGATGTCTACTTAGGAATATTTATATGTACAAGAAGCAATGTTAGTAGAACTGTATAATTAATTTTAGTCATACTGTCTTAAGGTTAAGTATATCTTGGCTGATTAGAACATTACAGTTTATTACTGAAGGTCAGATCATGCTTTATCATTTAGCAGCACAATTCAGCAATTTTGTACAATATATTGCTACTGAAGACCAATGCCACATAACACAGTGTGATAATAAAACTTATGCAGAACTGTGATTTTTCTCCTGTTCAGAATATTAAGAAAGGTGTTTTACACCCATTAGTTTATTATTGATTTCAAAGATTTTTTAGCATTGCAGTTGCTTTACCAATAACTATTCAGTATAAGTGTTGAAAAGGTATAAAAGAAAAAAAGGGAGGGGTATACTTAAAATGCTTTTTTGAGAGAAAATAACACATTTCTTTAAAATGAAATTAAGAATATTGGTTATTCTAAAAGACAATTTTACTTGAGGGAGAAAAATAAAGCACTTACTGCTACATATAAAAGGTAAATCCTATTAACATATTATTTTGTATTCTCTTTTTATTCTCCAGGAATGCATGAAAGAAAGCACTGTTGTGAATTTCCAAGATTGGCAGTCATCATCTTCAGTTGATGCTGATCATGAATTACCTTCCTCTGAAGATGTTGAACATAAACTCCATACCTTGCTACTTCCAACAAGTGTAACATCCTCTATTATTGAGCCAGACACTAAAGTACAGAATAGAACTGATAATTTGAATCCCTCTGAAGAAAAATCAAGTACTTGTGTTGATAATTTGAAAACTGAACTAACTAAAAACCAGAGTACAAGGTTATTAAGATCCATTAAAAATAGATTGTCATGGACAGAATCCAAAAATACTGTGTATTACAAGACACCTGGTTTACATGCAAGATTTCTAGACCCTCAGGTGGTAATTGAAAAGCTACCAGAGCCCAAACGCCCTTCCACCCCCTCAATTAATATGTGTGCTTCTGAAGTGTTAGACACTTGTGAGGAGTTGATAAAAAACAGGGGCATCTCCTCATCTCTTATCAAATGGGAATTATGTCCAATGGTGCCACCTCCTGAGGCTCCTCCTATAGAACATCCTAAAGAAGAATTGCTTCCTCCAACACCAAGTGTTTTTGTGAGTATGAAAATCAGTTTGTCAGTATTTTACTTTGATATATAATACAACATGATGTTTAGGGACCAATTGGTTCATCTAAGCTGTTCCATTCTCAGAATTAAACTAAGAGTATTAAATAAATAAAAACTTCAAAGCTAGCTTTTATCATTCATATAGTTATTGAGCTTTCTCTTTAACTCGCTTAAGTTTACATCTGAAGGTAACCCATTCCAAAGGCCAACCACCCTGTAAGAAAAATAAAACTGTCTTAGCTGAAGATGACTCCTACCCTACCAAAATTTATATTTATGCTCCCTAGTCCCACCATTCTCACCATTAAGTATGAAAAAAAAGATGATGCACCAACACTATCAAATCTTTTAACAATCTTAAACACTGCAATCAAACCCCCCTTTAACTCTTCTTTTCTCAAGAGAAAAAGAATTTCAGAGATCTAAACATCTTGTATGACTTCCCCTCCATGACAATTCATTGTTCTTCGTAAGGTAAGTAGCTCTAGAATGAACACAATACTCCAAATTTGGCCTAACCAGTGACCTATACAATAACCTCTTTAGACTTTTATTCAATATTTCTGTACATACAACTTAAAATCCTATTTACCCTACTACTAGCAACAGCACACTGCTTGGATAGCTTAAGAGACTGATCGACTATTACACCAAGATCCCTTTCCTTCATAACACTATTAAGGTCATTTCCATCCAAATTATACTTATGATTTAAATTATTATAATCCACATGCACTATCCTGCATTTATTATAATTAAAACCCATCTGCCATTTATTTGCCCAACTCACTAAATGATCTAAATTCTTTGTAAATCAGCAGCATCCTCTTCACAGC